ACAGACGGAATCCGAGTCTCCCGATATAATATCATGCCCCAAAGAGACCAGGCGTTCTAAACTCTAAACCCTACACCAAAACCCTAAACCCTAAACTAAGTTAGATCCGACTGGGAAGTTGGAAACCGAGTCTCCCGATCTCATGCTCCCGAAGGCTCAAGGGTTCTAGCTTAGAGTCCCACCCTATACCCTAAACTATCCCTAAAACCTAAACCCTAAACTATGCCTAAACCCTAAAGTGTCCCAAAACCCTAAACCCTAAACTATCCCTAAACCCTAAACCCTAAACTATCCCTCGACCCTAAACCCTGAACTATCCCTAAACCCTAAACTATCCCTCAACCCTAAACCCTGAACTATCCCTAAACCCTAAACCCTAAACCCTCATCATCGGGGTAGAAGAAGATGTGCGAATCTAGAGTTGTCGGCATCCAGAGTCATGGCTTGGAGCTTCAAATCCAAGAATTCGGGCCTACTTTTGGAGCCTCAGTGATTACTAATACTATTCCGGTGGTTCCTTATTATAATTATAGCACAACGGGCCCCCAAACTTACACACATTGCATCCGCCCTACAGCCCCAAAGCCCTACACCCCTAAACCCTAAATCCTAAAACCCTCAACCCTAAAGCCCAAAACCCTACAACCCTAAACCGTATTCTGACAAGGCTAACGGACCCGGCGCCGCGGAACATATGCCTCATGGTCTGGAGCCGCGATGTTCATTCATTTGGGGTTTAGGGTTATCGATAGCTAGGGTTCCTTAAAGGGTGTCGTTTAAAGGGATCTATAAGGGTTTCTACAAGGGTACTATATGGGGGTTCTGGGAGTTTCCGAAAATAGGGGACCCGAATATAGTACCCTAAATAGTAGGGTCTTTACTATAAGGATACCGAAAATACACCGTAATTTTGGAAACTCAAATTTGGAGGCCCGACTTTTGCACAGAACCGCAGAGATAGTAACGGAAATGCTTGTACACTGCAGCCACCAAGCTTTCTACATGATGGCATTAGGTCGATCATTTGAATGATTGAATGCTGTAAACGAGAACACATACACATGCATTATGCATGCATGGTGCATGTATGTATGCATGTATGTATGTATGTATGTACATATACATGTATGTATGTAAACATGGGTAAAGTAAACCTCTATATATATATATATATATACACATACATGTACAAAAGCACATACATACATATGTACCTATATACATACATATTCATACATGCACACATATGTATATATATATATATAGACAGAGAGAGAAAACACAAAAATAAGAGAGAACACTTTGGGTCGGTCATGAATGAGATCCTGTTCAGACCAGTGGGTCCTGAGGTTCATGTGGTGGTGAGCGTATGTAGGGCGGGCGTCTTTGGAATATCGGCGAGTGTACCTAGAATGAAAACACATGTTTCTTGTGCAAATCCTGCATTTCAGATTCAAGGCTTCGGGCCATCTGAGATCAGGCAGCACGCCACAGAGATGCGAAAGTATGTAGGACTGTGGGTCGCATGTTGTTAGTGCAAGGCCCTTCGAGTTTACATTGTCGCCTGAAGCTTCATACGAGTAGCTCCATGGCACCTAAACCCTAAACCCTAAACCGTTCACGCACAACAAACTTTAAAAAAAAAACAAAAAAACATTCATGTGGATGCTCAGAGCCGTAAGCCTTGCCGAATCTGCTTGTTCCTCGCCCTTGGGGCGATGTTTCCATGGCCCTGGCCAGCGAGTCGGAGTCTGTTCTTCGCGTCTATGGGATGTCTGGTGATCCTTGGCTTAGAGTTTAGGGCTTTTAGGGTTTAGGGTTTAGGGTTCCTTGGCTTAGAGTTTAAGGTTCGGTACAGATCTTTCTGTTTGACTTAGGCTTGCCTTTTTTGAGGGTACCGGGGGCTGGACCTCAGAATATGGTGGTAAGTAGCTAGGTGTGGTACCTGCAATCTCCATTGTAGCTACGCATAGGCTCCATAGTAGTTCCCTTTTGGGAAATACTTCATAGGATCCTAAATATAATAAACCCACAAAAGGGAACTACAATGGAGCCTATGGGTACAGTCTCTATTGTAGCTACTGTGAGGATCCTCTGTCCGATTGGCCCTGGGGTCACTTTTCGACAGGGTCCTAGGTACTGTTATGGGGGATACTTCCCGAAACCATAAGAGTAATTCCCAATATAGAAACCCTACATTCTGCTGTAGGGGTACTTTGGTCCCTTCGGGTGGTAGAGTTTAGGCGCGATAAGCCCGTTAGTCCCAGGATGGCCTTCCCGAAGCTGGGGCTTGCAGGTGTGACTGCTAGATCTGTTTAGCAACTATGATGCCTGTATGGTTTAGGGGTTATTGTTTACGGCTTAGTGTAAACATTCCGCGGCACTTGGGGTAAGCTACGGATGTGCCAAGCTATAAGACCCACGCGAGAACTTCTTGTCACATATTGGAACCTTAAAGGGAACCCTTCTTGGAACCCATAAGTGTTGGCAACCTACACGCTTTTCAGGGATGCTTCACAGAAAACCGACAGTCCCTATAGAATGAGAGTATGTGCGTATGTGTGTACGTATGTATGTATAGATAAGCAGTACAAATATATATATATATATATATATATATATATCTGTATAGAATAGTATAGTCTTCTCCGTCCCCAGGAAAGCAATCTAACGCGCACTGGCTAATGATTATGACCCCTGAACCCTAGACTTCTAACCTCTGATAAACCCTAAGACCCCTAAATCGCAAGTGCTGGCCCGCGCCCCGAGCAGAAATCCCGAACATTGTGTGCCCTTAATTTCGTGGAGTCCTTACGGGCCTTGACAGTGGGTATTTTGGGGTATATTAGACGGTAGTTGCGGGGTCTAGGTTGGATTTAGGGTTTAGGGTGTATAGAAGAAGCCAGAAAGTTGGAACATCATTATCCTCTTGCCCTTAAGGTAAAGTATAAGGGATGCTCGTACTAGTCCTTTTAAAGCCATGTTCCAACTTTCCGGCTTCTACTATAGCCCAAAAGGTCCAAAGTACCAATGTAGTAGACTGTAGGGTTTCTATATTAGGAGTTACTATTATGGTTTCGGGAAGTATCCCCCATAACAATACCTGGGCCCGTCTGGTCAAGAGTGCTGGTATGTGGAGTGTTAGTATTGATGCGAGGCCAACAGCTGGAAGGTTGCTCGGGCTGCGCGCCCAGATATGTGCGGTTGTGACGAAGGGTGTGCTCGCTTTGATACTCAGGGTGGTCACTGGCGAGCTGTGCACTTAGTTATCCTCCGTAGACAATGATGTGTACCTGTCGTTATGGCCGAGGGCGACTGCCCGCCGCTCCCAAGATGGGCTCGGGGCCCTGCATTCCGGTACCGGTCACGTTGGTCTTTACTAGTGGATTCGAGACTGATGGGTTTCCGACATGTCGCGACTTCTCCGGGTGTAGTTGTATCAGGTGACACGGAAGATCTTTGGAAAGGTGGGGACTATGCCCGATCACTGGATTCTATTGCTCTGGCGTGTGTGCAGGAGATAACATCCCTGCATCAAAAGTGGGCCGTGGCCTTATCGATTCAGAAATTCTCTCGACCAAGGGGGAGGCACTGTCTCCGGGGGCGGCGGTTGCTAAACGAGTCGAGTGTCCCGAGGTGGCCGCCAATCCACATTGGGAGGCGTTGACTCCGCCAAGCATGTTCAGCTGCTCCGGTTTGTGGTCTATGCGACATTCCTTTTCTGAATGGAGATATTCTAGCTGAGAGAAGAATGAGTGCATGACTCGCAATAAGTGCAAATGAGAGGCAGGTGAGTGCAGAAACATACCCGTCATGAACCTGAACCTGGAACATGACCGGCCAACAGCTACAGAAAACGGAACCTGTTTGTTAATGCCAGGACCCTCCCTCTCGTCGTGCTGCTGTGGGCGACCCCGAGGCAGCAACGGCTGAAGATGCGCACGGAGCAGCAAGGCAAGAAGAGTTGGGATAGGTGAGTGAGGGTGTGAATGAGTGAGTGAGTGAGTGAGTGAGTGAGTGAGCAGGTGCATGAGTGAGTGCCCGAGGGAGGGTGAAAGATACTGAGCGTGATATCATAGTCGATCCCTCGCCCTCATCTCGCATGGTGGGGCTCGTCTCGGGGCAGGTGGCACCGAAAGCTCTTGGCTTCCAGGAGGCCCGGGTACAGCACCAAGCATAGGGTAGGCGGTCGCGCCGCCGCGAAATTTAAATCTGCACGGAACGAGGTCGAGACCGACCCTGTACCTGCGCCTGTGCGGACCTCAAGTAGGCACTTAAGGATGCAGTGGCATGTGCCGTTACATCGAGGACTCCGAACCGCCAGTCTGGGACTCGTTCTCATGTTTCGTGCAGTACCTGGCTTGGGATGGAGCGTTGTATCCTGATGGTTCTCATACGAGGTTGGACCAGATCATGCACCTGCATCTGTGCGGACCCCAGTTTGCCAAAGGCTCATGGCTTCCAGGAGGCGCCAGTACAGCACCAAGCACAGTGAAGGCGGTCGTGCAGTCACGGAAATTAAATCTGCACGAAACGAGGTCGAGACAGGCCCTGTACTTGTGCCTGTGTAGGGGGGCCCTGCACCCCCGACAGCCGAGGCATATTGCAGCAAGAGTCCACAGATCTTCCAACTCCAGGGTTCAGGATTCAGGGTTTAGGGTTGGGGGGTTTAGGCTTTAGGGCTTGGGGTTCAGGGATCCAGAGGGGGGTGCTTTTCGTCGAATCTCAAGAGGGGCCCGAAACCTTGGCTCGTACGGCTATATACTATACTGAACGACTATATTACATACTAGACGTTCATACAGTCTATGATGCGAAACGATACCATGCTCGACGACCCAACTAACTCTACAGAACGTTTTGCCTCAAAGCCTGTTTGCCTTAACCCTAAACCCTAGCTTAACCCCGAATAGCCTACCTTTTTAAGGACTTATACAAGGAAATCATAAAGGGAACCCTAAAAAGGTGGTAGACCCTACAGACCATCAATCTCAGACCAGGAGATTGTGGCGAGCCTCGGTGCAGAAGAGCGCGCCGCCCTGGCAACAGAGTTTGGAAGTTCCGTGGGTGCCTTGCTACTTGCCTCCAAAGGGTTCTATGTTACGGTGGATACTGTCCCAAACCGTAGTACGGATTCCTAATAGAGAAACCCTAATTACATTTTACTATATGGGTACTTTGGACCTTTTGGGGGCTCCTGTTCCATCGAACTTTCAACACCCCGCTTGAATGCAGTTCTATGCCACGGCCCTAGTAATAATAGACATCTAGTTTCGTCTCAAATTCACAAAGCTTGTTCTAAGTTTTCCGGCCTGTCTGTCCTACTACAACCGGTTTCGAAGCTGTCACGAGCTAATCCGCAAGTCGACGGTTGAGGGTTTTTAGGGTTTTTTGGCTTGTTAGGGTTTTTAGGGTTTAGGGTTTAGGGCCCTGAACCCTAAACCCTACAGGAAAGAGCTGCTACAGCTGCGTCTCGGGACACCTCGTTTCCGCATTCGGCTGCTTTGCAAGGGCTGCCTGTTGGAAAATGCGCCTTCGCTTCACCAGGAAGGGGTTGATGGGCTCAGGCTCTCCGACCAGAGCTTGTCTTCTACGTTCCGGGCTCATACTGTTGATGGACAGAATCCAGCATGACCCTAAGGACTCTAAACTATGGGAACTATGGTATATTCCTTATAAAGGGTAATGCAGGATTTTGTCCATCAACAGTACTATAGGCTGTCGTTATATAGTCGTAAATGCGGCAAGAGACTGTAGTCGAAGGGCTTTTGTTTCTGGGTGCAGGGTTTTTTTTCCCACAAGCGGTTTTTCCTTGCATCCATTTTGTCCGACAGATGGATCGTCTGAGCGCGCCCCCCTTGCAGAAATACACCGCAGAAGGAAGGGATTGCAGCTCTTGAGTGTGTAATACCTTCACCTAAGAATTCAACTCAGTCAGGAGGCAGGCAAATCATTTCAAATCATGTTAACGGTTGCAGCAAGTATCCCAACTTGGAAAGAGAAGGTCTCCCTAACCCTCCACAAAGTGGCACTGCTGAGGACGAGTGTATGTTTGCGTGGGACTTTCCGAAAGACGTGCAAGCGGCGCAGCTGCAAATTTGGACTGTTCGGTTTCTGGGGGTTTGGGTTCTAAGGTTGCGTGGTTTGGGTTTTCAGAGTTCAGGGTTCAGCGGTGTAAGGCTTTAGGATGCCTTAGGGCTTCCACTTTTCTGAGGTCGTCTTCGTACCTATGCGAGCTGCGACAGAGGAGGAGCGAGGACAAATGTTCCACGCCATCCGCACATCCTCCTCGAATCAGGCCATCCGGAACCCGTGCCCGAAACCCTAACACCCTCCGGAACCCTAAGCCCTAAAGCCCTCCAGAACCCTAGGCCCAACGCCATCCCCAAACGAGCTAAAGTCTAGAACATGGAGTTCAAAGTCACAGCACCCCGAATCTGAGACCTGAAGTGCGGACGCTTGAGCAAAGACAAATGTGAATGTTTCGACTATGCGTGTGACGTGTGCTTCATCTTTCCGTTTACCATGAGCCGTGACCCACAAATCTGCGCAGAGTCAAGATATATTTCCACGAAGACATATTGCCCTTTGGCCTCGAATGCAACCTTGCCGACAAGTCGGCGAGAGCGTGGACACCCAATATAGAGGCTTAAATTACCAATACGGTTCTTTAGTTTTCTTTGTTATGTCTATAGTATAGCATACAGTATACCCCAAAACCCTCTTCTCATTCTTTAGGCCCTATATAGTATCTCCCGAACCTCTGTTGTGGCTGATGACCTCAGCGGGCTGCTTCTTGTGTTCTCCGTCCAGCCGTTCATGTCAATAGCTTGATTGATAAAGTCGGAAATCAGCACTACCATCACCTGAATATATTCCCTAATCTGTTACATCAAAATACCCCCGCCCCCCCCAAACTCTATTCCAATTTATCGAGGGCCCTGCTATACAAGTACCTGAACATCCAGAGATCGACAGCAGAAACCCGGAGAGAAGCTTGAACCTCAAGAAAGCCATCGCCTCTGTGCTAATGTATAGGGGGCCTTTTTCGTTCTGGGGGGGTGTCCTTATTAGCAGTTACAATAAAATGGGCCCCAAAACCCTATTCTAATTATTACGGCCCCTATATTATAGAACCCTACTATAGATCCCTTATAGACCCCTTTAAAGCACCCCTTACAGGAACCCTATTCTAATTCTTAAGGCCCCTACATTAGGCAAGATCTTCGGCCGTGGCTCGAAATGCGAAAACCTATGCACCCTACCTATATGGGAGTTTCCGAAAATTAGGGTTAGCTTATTGTGGGGCCCTTATAGTGAGGATCCTACTATTTAGGCTACTATGTTAGGGTCCCCCATTTTCGGAAACTCCCATATGCTCCAGTGTAGTTCCTTTTTTTGGTTAACCAAAAGCTCTATTATAGGATCCTAACCATAAAACTGGCTAACCCAAAAAAGGAACTACAATGGAGACTATAGTTAAACCCTAATGTCTAGGCCTGCATAATCTGGGTATGCTTACTAGTATGATGTAACGAGCCATAGAAGCCTATTCAAATTACTAAGGCCCCTATATTGGGCTCCAGTTCCCAGGCTGACCAGTTGAGTTTAGTTACAATTTTGGGTGTAATTGAGATGTAGATTCGCACAGATTCATATTGCCGCCCTGGGTCGAACAGGTATCCCGTACCATAGTTCAAACTCACCAAACAAAGCTGCCCCAGCTCCAACCTGAAGCTTGAAGCACAGGGTAGAAGACGGTTTTGGGGTATATTTTACTATAAGTATAATAAGGGGCCCCCAAAATGGCCCCTGTATCACCATCAGCACATGAGACTTGAGAGGTTACCATCAGCATGTGAGACTTGAGAGGTGCCCGAAACGCTAAACTCGATCGGAAAGCTGAGACTCGAAGAGGTGGAGGCACTCCTTCATGCGCCCCTCGATCCGGCCATCCGGTGCAGCATTGGCATGTGTTTTTTTGTGAAGGTTTCTGGGGCTTGGGGTTTAGGGCTCAACGTTTAGGGTTCAGGGTTGGTTAGTTGGTTGGTCGGTTGTTGTTGCTGTTATTGCTGTTGTTGTTGGCGCTATGGCTGCTGGTGATAGCTAACCCGAGGAGCTTCATGTAGGCTGAAGTTGCCAGCACGTAGCACGGGGCGCACCTATGAGAGAAGATTATGAAGAATCAGGAATCACTCTCACATGAAGGACTAGGCCTAGGCTGTGTGCGCTGAGCTTGTAGCGACCAAGGACAGCGTGTCCAACCAGCTGGGGCAGACGGCTCTCATCCATGCAGAACCTGGGTTCTGGGGCAGTATACTCTATTGCTTTGTTTGTACGTGTTCGCAGAACAAATTCATACGAGATTGCCCTCCCTAAGCCCCAAACCTTAAAGACTTGGTTGCTTCAAAGCCCAGGAATACGAGTTTCTCCCTAAACCCCAAACCCCAAACCCTTGGTTACTTAAATTCCTAGGGCTCCAAGTAAGTATACACATGCTACCTACTTCGGGGTCTGACGTCTGTAAAATACCTACTTTGGGCTATCTGGAGCCCCCTAAACCCTAAGCCATATATCCCAAGACCTGAACCCCAAACCATATAAACCTAAGCCCTATAAACCCTATAAGCCCTACACCCCAAAAAAGCCTATATAAACCCCAAACCCCTTAAACCCTCCAAGCCCTATAAACCCAAAAGCCTCCCTATAAGCCCTACCTTAACCCTGAATAACCTTCCTTTTCAGTATACCTTACTAGTATTTCCTTATATAAGTCCTTAAAAAGGTAGGTTATTCCGGCTTAAGCTACGCCCTAAACCCCTAAACCCGAAACCCCAAAAGCCCAGGCCCCGGCCAGCAGCGCCGCCTGCGTCCGACCTCTGCTGGAAGCCCGGGCTGGCCTCGACAAGACTGACAGGCCGAGATCCTTCAAAGGAACCCTAAGAGATCCCTTGAAGGAACCCTAAAAGATCCCTTAAAGGAACCCTTAAAGATCCCTTCAGGGCTCCTTTAAGGGTCCGCGTGCACTAATCGTACCTGTGGTCTCTACCGTAGTTACCGTAGTTGTTTTGCTGAGCTACCTATGAGAGGAACCATGTATCAAGCATGTAAAGTAAGTACATACACTACATAAACATACACACAGACGGACAGGGAGGGATGGATGGATGGATGGATGGATGGATGGACGGATGGATGGATGGTTGAACCAAAGAAATGAATTGGATTCAGGAGTATATATGTTCTGTTAATGTTTACGCATTTCTGGCTGGGTTTGGGTTTTCAGGAGGCTTGGGATGACGAGTTGCAGGCATGGAAAGATGTCAACAGCTGCAACTCGGAGGTGTGTGCCTAGACATAAGCCAACCCTGACCGTGCGAATATTCCCTAATTGAGGGATTTTGGAAGATCTGGGTAATTACATTCATCCTTCACCCCCCCGAGCCAATACACTTTCAGCGCTGAGAGAGCATGCTAAGAGAAAACCACACTTCCAAAACCCCTCAATCTCAAACCCTACGCACCCGACCCCCTAAGCGTAAACCCTAAACCCCTAAACCCTAAACCCTTAAACCCCTAACTAAACCCCAAACCCTCAGCCCCTAAACTTTAAGCCCCTAAAGGCCCCCCACCACCTGAGCGTAAATCCCTGAACCCTCAACACTAAGCCTTATATAATGAAAAAACCCTATAAAAATTAAAAAAAAAAAAAAACCTAAGCCCTAAAACCGAGAGGCCCCAAACACCTAAAGGCCCCAAGAAGCCTTCATGAAGGCTTGGCGGCTCGGCGGTGCTCTATGCGGCCGACCGAGCCCATGTGGAAGTCCTTCAGCTCCTCTTAGAGGCATCTTCCGGGGGGGGAAGAATGGGGGGATTTAATTTTAGGGTGTACCTTGAATTGGTTAACACAAAAGGAACTACAATGGAGACTATAGGTAATTTAGGCATCTTCGGAGAGAGGGTCCTATTTTTAGGGTTTAGGATTCAGGGAGGATTTAGAGTGTCAGGGGTTCGGGGCTTTGGGGGTTTGGGGTTTAAGGTTCTTCAGAGAGGAGGACCCCTGCAATGGCCTTTTAATGGAGACCTCATGGTCCTGAATAGTGGGTATTTAGGGTATTAGGTGTGGTTCAGGGTTTAAGTTTTACGAGATCTAATTTAGGGTTAAGTGCTGGATGTTTGGGTTCAGAGCTTTAGGGTTTGATTTGAGAGGGCTTTACGGCGAACAAGGGTTCCATCAGTTTTTTTTTGAGACTTTGAAGGTTTAGGGTGATTTTGCTGCTTCTAATTCTAGATTCTAGACTCTAGGCCATCGAACAAGTGTTCTCAGCCGAACACGGTTTGGGGATTTAGGGCTTCAGGGCATTTGCGGTTTGCTGGTTTGGGGTTCTTGGACATTTCGGCTTCGGATTGCAATCTGTGGTTGAGATGTTGTCGGCTTTCGTAACCACGGTCTGCCGGGCTTGATTGCTGCCGGAATTTAGGGAATAGATTTGGCTTGGGCATGGCAGATGCTTTCGGAGGCCCGTGCGGACGCGAACAACGGCGAGACGCACAGGAATCTCCGGCACTTTGCGGGGCTTGATTTCGGGTTCACGTGCAAACTACGAGGGCGGGTTTAGTTGCACATTTTCGCGAAAGGGGCTCAGATGAAGAACCTAGTTTCCAAATTCGAAACCCGATCCCCAAAACCCTAAACCCGAAATCCAAAGCACTAGACTGGAACCCAAACCCTAAACCCGAAACCCAAAACCGTAAACCCTCTCTAAACCCAAAACATCCAAAAACACTATAAATCCCAATCGCTAAACCCGGAAAGCCATGGAGACAAGCAAGGAAGAACCGCCCACCGCTTCTTCATGCCTCGGGGCGTCTCGGCAGTCCCTAGTTATCTCGACATCCGTTTGATCATGTGACTTAAGGTATATCATAGTGTATTCTAATCTCTGAGAGTATGTGATAGTATTTAATGGTATTATTGTACTTTGTTCTTGTACATGACAGTGTGTTAGAGCATCATTTCTACCACAAGCTCACCATGGCTGCAGATTCAAGGCAAATTCGCTCTGGTATTCGCAAATAAATGGCCTTGGGTATACGGTTATAAAGCGAGTAGGTACCTCAAGCCCCGAGCCTTGAACCCGGACAACCTAAATCCGTACACTCACAGCCTCAGCTCCAACCCTAACCTACCTCTAGTGGCCATTGTAGCTCCTGCTTTGGTTACCATAGGATCCTAAATACATAGCTGGTTACACCAACACAGCAACTACAATGGAGACCATGGGTACACCCTACCTTAACCCCGAAAAATCATAAGAGGAACCCTAAAACGGTAGGTTATTCAGGGTTAAGGTAAACTCTGAACCCTAAACCCTAAACCAAAATCCTCCCAGCCCACGGTCTTAAACCAGCCGAGGAGCGGTAAAGCGGAGGTGGTTCAAATGCTGCTACAAGCCGGTGCCGATCGAACCAAGGCAGATCCCAAAAGCCCTAAATCCTAAAACCCCAAACCCCAGATCCGTTGTCTTCTTTCTAGTCGGAGCGCGTGGTGCTTTCGGGTTCGGGCTTAATGTAGGGGCCTTAATACTTACCTACACTTTTTTGGGGGTTCCCTTATTGTAATTATAGTATAATGGGACTCAAAACCCTATTCTAATTATTAACGCCCGTCTATTACGGTTGAGTGCCGGCTTTGAGGCTTCTTCGGTGCTTGCATCGCAAGTAGGACAGAGTGCCACCAAAGCTTGCAAGCAACCTCCGTGCCCAGAGAGAGCCCAGTACTCCTTAAAAAAGCATTATTTCTTAAATTATAAGGGGCTGCATATTACGATGTAAGCTATATTCCTTAGTTCAGGGGTATTAGGCTCTCTGGGTGCTCAGCCGAGAGCCAGCAAGCAACCACAAGGACGACCCGCTAGTTGCGCCGATATGCGAATCTCAAGCATGAGCAGCAGCATTTCCTCAAACATGTTGAGGAACCCAAAGGGTCCAAAGTACCTCTATGGTAGAATGTAGGGTTTCTATAGTAGGAATTTCTTTTATGATTTGGGGAGGTATCCCCCATAACAGTACATAGGACCCTTTGGGGAACAACACCCAAGACCCTGCTGGAGCGTGTAGGCCCAGATGTGTTCTAAGGCTACCCGAAACCTTGGATGCATAATTGGACCGTGCAAAAACCTGGGTTATGGTAGGGTTAGGTACTCCGAATATATATATATATACATATCATACATTTGTTTATTTATATATGTGTATATATATATATATATATACACATACATATATATATATATATATATGTATATCCTTGACCTTGAAGGGTAAGCCGCTCGTCCGGAAGGTCAATCGCCGTGGTCAATCTGCCCTTTGGTGCGCGGCTGCAGGCCCCCCTGTTCTTGAAACCTTACTTAGACGATCACGGGACTTACGGTTGATGATATAAATCCTGCATTACCCATAGTAAGGAATATACCATAATTCCCGTAGTTTAGGGTCCTTAAGGTAATGCAGGGTTTATATCATCAACCGTATCAAGGGACTTCGTGAGTAGGTTACTCTGGGGGTTATCTGTCTCCTAAGTGGGGTTATGTTTGTGATCACCTTAACCTACCAAAACCAAGTTTTTTTTGTGGGTGCATATAAATTCCAGACCAGGGTTTATAATGAGAACCTACAATTAGCCCTACACCCTACATCCCTACATCCCTACACCCTGAACCCAGGTGGCCATCTCAACACACTTCAGCTTCTGCTGGACGCACGGTCTGAAGTAGATCAGGCCGACGTTGAGCCTCGTCGGCTCTCAGGGGGCTCCCTTTAAGGGCTCCTTTCAGGGGTCCCTTAAGGGATCTACTGTTTTGGGGGTTCCTTTAAGGGGGGTCCTAAATGGGAGACCTGCATGTGAGTTTCTGAAAATTGGGTGACCTTATTTTGGGGTCCTCAAAGTAAGAATCCTACCATTTACGGTAATATATTTTCGGCAACTCACTCATAAAGCAGAAGCCAGAAAGTTGGAACATCATTATCCTGATGCCTTTAGAGGTAAGGTATAGGGGATCCCAGCACTAATCATCCTAAATCCATGTTCCACTTTTTCTGGGGTTGACTATATGTTTTAGGATTTTGGGTTTTGGGGGGTTAGGAGGCTCTGGGGACAACTTAATATGTTTAGGGGCTTAGGCTTTTAGGGTTTCGGAGCCTCTACATAAGGACTCATATGGGCAGTTGTCAAAATTAGGGTCCCTTTTGGGGGTCCTTACTATAATACGGCACCTAATATTTAGGGTACCCGAAAAGGGACCATGAAAAGGACAACCACCCATATGTTGAGGCTCTTGGGCCCAAAGTTCATATACAAGGCTGGCAAATGGGCGATATTGAGCCTTGGGCTTCGAGAGTATGCCACACTGAAAACCGTATACTACGATCCTCGATGTAAAGAATACGGTTGATGATTTATCTATGGGAATTATGGTATAACCCTTAAATATTATGGGTAGTGCAGGATTTATATCATCAACGGTGTGTCTAGGGATTCTTGAATGCTGTGTAGAAGAGAGTCTTTCACTTTGGCGTGGCGAGCGATCACCTTGATTGCGCGGTGTGGCCAAGCGGCGCAGGGCATTGCATGGAGTTGTGTGCAGTTCCAGCATGTTGTTGTTTGCTGTCCTAGTGGGCGCCGGAGCCCTAGGGACAGATAAATGCCACGAAAAGGGTTGAGCGCCCGGAGTTCGACAGCTTACGACCCCTAAACCCGAAACCCTAAACCCCTAAACCTAAACCCCTAAACCCCTAAACCTAAACCCCAAACCCTTTTAACCCGAAACCCTAAACCCCAAACCCTACATCCAACCCCATCATTGGTTTTCTGGTCAGACCTCCGATTTCGTGTTGGCAGAAAGCGGCTTGAAGCTACCATAGCTGAGTCTTCGTACTTGAGTACGAAACCTTCAACCTGTTAGGGTTTATATTTCCTGACCATAATTGAAAAGGTTAAACCTTTTGGGCTAGGGTACTCAGCCCCTCTAGATAGGTACTTGGTTTTACGTTCATATATTAAAGCTCTTAAGGGAAAAAAGCATCAGCCGATAGTTCACATTCATTCATTGCTTAGAACAACTTTCTCAATGTCTTGAAGATCAGATCCTGGTATATATGTCAGTTTTCAAGACATCGATTGAGGAGGACGGACAGAGAGGAAAGAAGAGTGATAGAGAGAGGGAGATAGCAATAGAGAGGATTAGGAGATGTGTGATGGGTTTTACCTTCCACTTCATGGTCACTCGGTCATGCTTCAAGCCTGTCCGGACTTGGTGGTCAGCCGTCTATATACCCCCTTTGGACTGATAGCCTTGCAACGGCACCATTAACCCTCAACCGCCGCGTGGTAGCCCAGGACGGCACCACTCCACTAACAGCTGCCGTCAGTGGCGGCCATGCGCAAGTTGTTGCTTTGCAGCAGAAACATGCAGTTTGGGTTCGCAGTTGCACGTGATGTGCGCGACCCTGATTAGGGTTCCGTTCTCTCCTTCAGACGAAGTGTTGCACGCACTGTTTCGCTAGAGGGCGCCTACGGATTTGGATGCTCTCGGTGTTGGACTTAGCTTCGGGATCTTCGACGGAATGGAAAGTGTGAAAGGCAAGCTCTTCGGCTTGCATTTTGGGGGGGCCAGCGCCCACAGCATGGCAAGGATCAAGTTCGGGACCCTGAGGTGTCGGCGCTGCTGATCGCTGGCGCCCGGTTCGAGTCGTCATTACTGGTGACGCCGTGCCACCAGGGATTCGCGGAGGTGGGTGCATGTTTCGGGGGTCAATTCTTATTCCTGACCGCTACATCCCACCCTGTAGGAATGTTTCGGCCTACCAGAGGCGTGGCTTGCGAGATTGACGATTCCAGCTTCCAATTTCTGGACAACACCGGCAGAATCTAATCACGCTCATGATTCGCTACATGAGTTTATCCTGGGGTCAATCACCCTTCTGGTGCCGACCGATAGCAGAACCAGCGTGAATGCATCCCGGGCGCAGACACTATCCCACCGCACCCTTGGCTGGGCTTTCAGGGTGACATTTGGGTGGTTGTCGAAATTATGGTCCCTTTTTGGGTCCCTATTATAGTAGGGCACCTAATCAGTACTTAGGGTCCCAAAAGGGGACCCTAATTTTGATATACCTGTACCCATTTTGTCAATACGTACATGTTTGGGCTGCGTTCTGCCGCGTTCGTGGCTTCGTGTACGCCTACCCTCGGCCATGCAGGCATCCACGAGTTTCCAGAGGTTAAATGAATGCGTAGACAGGCTCCATGCAACGCGAACTTTACCTGTAGTCTAGCCATGTCTAGCCTATAGTCAGCAGTGTTGTTCCTGTTTTTTGCCAACCAAAGTTGTAGTTGGCATCCTATCAACCTGGTTAGCCAAGACAAGAAACTACAATGGAGACTATAGGTCAAGATCATGGGCTCCAATCTCCGAGCGTTCCCAATTTACACCACAAGCCAATCTCGTCCCAGCAACAAGTCTTCAACCAGCGGCCTAAACGCCGAACTGAAGATGCCGGAACCCAGAGCCCCGGGGCTTTCCCAGCCCTCAGCCTTAAAACCCTAAACCCTAGAACCCTAAACCCTATAAGTCTTAAACCCCAAACCACTAAACCCAAGAGGTCTTAAACCCCCCAAACCCCAAACTCCATAAGCCCCAATCCCTAACACCCTAAAGCCTATAAGTCTTACACCCCAAACCCCCAAAGCCCGGAGACCCGAAACCATACACCCCTAAAACCTTAAAGCCTACAAGTCTTACAGTAGAAGCCAAAAAGTTGGAACATGGGTTTAGGAGGATTAGTGCTAGGATCCCTTATACTTTACCTTAAGGGCATGAGGAGTCTAATGTTCCAACTTTCTGGCTTCTACCATAAACCCTAATTAAACCCAAAGGTGGCCGCTGAACTTCTCGCGGCCCGATGTGCCACGGACTGCCTTAACGAGAACGGCCATTCTCCCATGACTGCGGCTTGCACCTTCGCGTCGACAGCCATCCTTTCCTACATTTTTGGGTAATCTGGGCTTATTGAGGATATAGGGTTTAGGGTTTATAAGTCTCAAGACTGTAAGGCTTTGGGATTGATGAGTACTAGAAAGCTTACGTACAGATGTTTAAACTCTACAGGGGTCGGTTTGACCTTACCCTCAGGGTTTACGATGTGACTGTCAACCTGGTCTGGGGTTTACAAAAGGGGGTTTCCGAAAATTGGGGTGCCTTATTTTGGGGTCCTTATAATAAGGATCCTACTATTTACAGTCCTAAATTAGGGTCCCCAGTTTCGGAATCTCCCATATTTGTTAGGTCTATGGTTTAGGGTAGGGCACCGGAGAAGCCAGAAAGTTGGAACATCACTATCCTCATACCCTTAAAGTAAAGTAGAGGGAATCCCTGCACTCATCATCCTAAATCCATGTTCCAACTTTCTGGGGTTCACTATAGTTTAATTACACGTGATCTCTTGTGCGGTGTTTGTAGTTCCGGCTCATGGCTGCAATATACTGCTGCAATATACTTCATGCTACACCCTGCATTGACGCCGTAGAGCTCTGAAGACCAAGACGAGCCCATAAGCCCTAAATCCCAGAATCCGGAATCCTAAACCCTTAAATCCTTAAACGCGAGCCGCGGATCCTGACACCCCCAAACCCTAAATCCTAAATCACAAACCCCTATAGTGAGCAGAAAGTTGGAACATGGATGTAGGATGATTAGCACTGGGATTCGGATAATGGTGTTCCATCTTTTTTGGCTTCTACTGCAACACCCTTGACCCCCCTAAAACCCTAAACTCCTATCCCCAGACTTCAAGGAAGCAACCCAGGTCGGTCAGGGGGGGACAACGTCAAGCCACACTGTAGAAGGAGTATTGCCGGCCTATGTCCGAGGAGTACAACCCGCGAAGGATCTCAGCCGGGCTGACCGTGAACGGCAGATGTACTCTGCCTTCCAAAAGAAGGTGGCGCGCGCGTGGCACGGTTGCAAGACAAACAGCATCGGCCATGCTTTGTAAGCGACTTCTTCTTGCCTTTGCGAGGCTGTGCGAAGCCTTCAAAACCTCCACCGTGTTCAAGCACTTCCAAGGCTTTGCCGAGGTTGTGCGCAAGACGGCGAAGGCGACCGAAGCCGTTGAGACAGCGCAGAAGGGGTTGGAGGTGGCCCTGGACGGGCTCAAGGAAGCAAGAAGGGCTTCCGCGACGTTGGACCCTCGCTTTGAGACGCCAGCCCTGAAGAGGGCCGAGGAACAGCAGGTGAAGGAGGCCGAGAAGGCCCTCACGGCTGCTGAGGAGCAGTACGATAACGCCGACACCTTTGTTCCCTTGGCCGCACCTTGGCTGCCGCCTTGCGGGCAAAACACATGTTTGCTATATCCAGCATTATCCGACTCAGGATTACGAAGAAGAAAAGCGGCGCCAACTCCTCGGTCCGACAGGTCACCTTGCCTACGACGACAGGGCATTTGGGATGCCGACGGCAAGGTGACCATGAAGCTGTTTTATATGCACCCAAGGACGCTTGAATTGACAGCCTTAAATTCTGATTCTGGCCGCAGACGGATGCGGCTTGTATGGGAGGGAAGGGCTCCGGCATGAAGCATGATTGCGGGTGCTACTTCGCTTCCGCCCTGTGGCAGTACACGGGCAAATACAAGCCGCTGCGCATGCATTGGTTTTGGCACGGGGTCCTCATGCGCACATCCGTGATCTGAAGGTGCGCCGTGGACTGGGATGCCTTTTCCAACAGGTCATGAACCGCCTCGCAGAGGCGAAAGCGGAGTGGCACAAGGCCCACCCACTAACAGGAGCGCGGCCGTGTGGTTTTTCAACGGCGAGGGTTGCATACTTGCGAAGGCGATGACTTTGTCCACTCCGGAGTTGTGGGACACCATCCTCACAAGCCAGGTGCAACCTTAAACCCCTCAACCCTACACCCCAAACCCCTCACCCTAAACCGAGGGAAACCTCAAAGCCCTAAACCCTAAACCAAAGGAAACCAGAAGCCCAGGCCTCTCCGGGAAGCCAGAGGTCCTCAAGGTGCTGCTTGCAGCTGGGGCCTCCAGGGACGACTTCGACCGAGCCTCCTCCGACAGTTTAGGGTTTAGGATTTTGGGTTTAGGCTGTTTAGGCTGTCTAGGATATAGGAATTTAGGATTTAGGCTGTAGGATTTATGATTCAGGGTTTGGTTGGGATTAAGGGTGTAGGATTTAGGGTGTAGGGTTTTGGATTTGGGGGTTTAGGCTGTTTAGGATTCAGGATTATGTAAGGGTGTAGGGTTTAGGGTGTACGATTTCTGATTTACGGTTTAGGATTTTGGGTTTAGGATTTAGGTTTAAAGGTTAGGGGTTTAAGATTGAGGATTTAGGGTTTAGGATTTAGGATTTACGGTTTAAGGGTTTCTGAGGGTTCCCAGAAGGGAACTTATAGGGTAACTTACAGGGCTATGAGGGTTTCTAAGAGAGAAGCTTCGGGTTACTCCAATGGGTTTCTACCCAGACCCCGAGGAGGATCCCAAAAAGTAGATCCCTTAATGGGGCTTCCTATAAAGTACCTGTAGTAGTACAGGGCCCCAAATTAGGGGATCTATTTTCTAGATTCTCCCGGAAGTCTGGGTAATGTGGGGGCCTAAATAATAACCAATAGAATAGGGTTCCTCTGAGTGTAGTACAGGGGCCTAATAATTAGAAGAGGGTTTTGGGGGTTCCTTATGAAAATTATAGTAGAATCGGCCCCAAAACCCTACTCTAATTGTTAAGGCGCCTACATTAAAGGGTTTTATGAGATTCTATACTGGGAACGCAGGAGGCTATAGGGGTTCATATATTGGGAACAAAAAAGCTACAAGATGCTATAAGTGTTTATAATAAGGATGTGTGGTGTTTAAAGTTTATGGATGTTTAGATGCGCTGTGTACTGTGTGGTTTTGTTATTGTTGTGTATCTGAGGCTTATAGGGTTTAATTCAAGGGCAGACGTTTTTTTGTACTCGGCCTTGTCAAGGGTTCGAGGGTTCTATACGGCCTCAGTAAAAAGACCTTTGTTGGTATTGTAGAACTGTACAGCAATGAAAAAAGAAACAGGAGCACAAGTTGCTCCGACTGCTAACTTTCGTTTTTGATTAAGAAAGGGTTGGGCTTGGGGTTTGTGGTTTTGTGTGTATGGGTTTAAGGATTTGGCGTGTAGAGCTTAAGGCTTCAGGGTGTAGAACCTGAGATGTTTAGGCCTACCTGGACCCTAAAGAACCTTTATTTTTAAGGACATATATAGGGAAATCATAGTAAGGAACCTTACAAAGGAAGGTTTTATAGGGTCCAGTCGACGCTTCGGTTGTACTCAGAATTTGAACTTGGAGTTCTTGGTAGTCAGAGCCAGAGCTTGTGTTCAGAGTTTAGGGATTATGGTACTCAGAGTCTGGGTTCAGATAGGGTGCTTCAAGCCACGACTCGGGTTTGGGTTCAGTCTGTAAACCTTAAGGTTGGGGTACCTGTGCCTTTTACAGTATAGGGTTTAGGGTTTAGGGAACCCAGCGATGGCTGATGTCGCGTTTCTGACACTTGTCTGTCCCAGACACCATGCATGCAACCTGACATTCCCCTAAACCCTAAACCCTAAACAAACAACACAGATCCTCGTAATGCTCTGGCCTAGGATCTCAGCCAGACACCGTCAAAGCCGCAGGGTTGGGTCCATAGCAAACCACAGCCGTTCATAATGGGCTACTGAGTCGCATATTAAATGGCTATTTAAGATTCACCCTAAATCCTAAACCCACCTAATTATTTGTCAAGCAACTGGAGCCCTAGGCTGTAGAACCCAAGAACACCACCGAGGCTGGGGTAACTCGCCTTTGTCTACCGCATGCAAGGCGGGTCACGTCGAGGCCTGGCATCCCTCGGCTGATGTCGTTTGCTGGTGGATCCAAAGCCTCCAAAACCCCTTAATTAAGGAATATACCTTAAATTATATTGGGATCCCTAATATAATTTAAGGTATATTCCTTAATTAAGGGGTTTTGGAGGCTTTGGGGATGTAGGAAGCATGAAGGGTCCAACAAGCCATATGTTACACCACCGTGGACTATTGCTTTGTAGGTTCTCATTGTGTGACCCCTAATATGTGGAGTTTATGGAGACCCTACAAATGGTTGGGCTTGGTAGTTTAAGGTAGACATGCGCATTCACGTCTTTAAATGTTAGGCCGGGTTGAGAAGTATGAGATAGGCATTTTTGGACCACATCTCCTGTTTAAGATCTGGCTATAGACTTCTCCTTCTGAGAAACTGTTCGAAGGGAACCCCAAATATGACTACCCGAATCGGGGTTTCGACATGTTCGTACCACCGCAGACTTGGACAATGGTTCCCGGTTTAGGGTTTAGGGTTTCAGACCCCACTTCCGAAGAAAGAGTTTCAGATCCGGCGGGTTCCCCAAAGCAGGAAACCTTGCAATCTAGACTCGCTCGACCCCGAAACGTGCAAGAAGCAAGACCTCCGAAACCCAGACCAAAAGCCAGCCCCAAGCCTCAACATAAACCAGTAGCCAACTCAGCCCCGGGTTAGACTCCCTAATGTAGGGTCTTCAACAATTATCAACATTAGGGGTAGTTCTCTAAATTCGGGGTCCCTTAGGTTAGGGATAAGCTGCTAAACCATACATACTAGAGCCTGAGCCCAATCACTGGATGAATCTTTTAAACTCTGCACCAGGTCAGGCCCACAGCACAAGAACCCTAAGCCCTTCTAGTCATACGTCCGGCAGATGCCTGTAGCAATGTCCTCCCAGCCGTCGGGTACAATATAAATTCCCTAAACCCAAACCACGAACCCCCAAACTCTATCTCCAGGTCGTTCGATACTTGCTGGAGTCCAATGTAGACCCAGACCTCCTCGACCGCTCTGGCGTTGCCCCGTATCGGAAGATCTCTAACTTGTTGGCGTGGCTGCATTAGGGCTTGGAGTTTATAGGGTCCATGGTTTGGGGTTGAGGGTTTATAGGGTCTACAGCGTTTCAAGGCATTGGGGTTCAGGGTTTTGATCTAGGGTTTAGGGTTTGGGGTTAAGTTGCACGACCTGCTACCTTTTGCTGTCTCCTGTCTTCACCTGCATACAGTGGTATAAGTATAATTATGCATGCAGACATGCATACATCCTTACATACAGTATATGCATACTTACATGCATGACCATGCACACAAAGATACAAACATACATTCATGCATAAGCTCGCGTTCAGCTTCGTCATGTCACAAATATGAGAAGACGTGTTTATACGTGCGAGAACTGGAACATGCACGCAGCATATGCGGTACAGATGCAGTTTACATCTATCATTTGTATCTATATCTGTCCATCTATCTATCTTCGGTGTGGGTGTACACACACACACACTGGGTTGGACAGCACTGTGCCCTCGCTGCAGTGGCCTCTGAGGTAGGGAGTCGGGAATGGTCGCCTTTGAGTCATACGGCTTTGGGGCTTTGGGTTTGGGATTTAGGGTTTAGGTGTTGGGGTTGGGATTTAGCTTTGAGGGTTTAGGCTTTGAGGTTTAGGGTCTAGCCGTCCGAATGTGGAACTCAACTATTTCTGAAGCTGTATCGAAACTGATGATCACACTACCCCCCTAAACCCTAAACCCTGAACCCTTGAACCCTAAACCTTAAGCCCTAAAGTGCCAAGGTGGAGGAAGACCGAGGGACACCTCATTATCCAACGCCTACTCCGCGATGCAGGGGCCATCACGTCTAAGAGGCAGCGAAGCTGCCTGGCACGCGCCAACACATCGCCGGAAAGACCGACTCCTGCGATTCCAGGGCTATAATCAGGACTGTGGCGTTTTAATTTGATTGTTTGGGGTGCTGCAAATCTTGAAAGTCTTTGTTCGGCTGTGCAGCTTGCAGGTAACCTGGAAGCTTAGACGCTTCTTAACCAACCTACGTAATGTACCCATCGGCTGGGGTCGACGCTGTTGTGCTCGCGCTTGCAAGACTTAGTTCTCGGGACCCGATATCCAACCTCTATGCCTTTTCATGTAATCCCATCTAAGAGGGTCATAGAATCCAGCCAGAGGTTGAACTCTAAGCCGTATATATACCCCAGTCCTACATAGCACGGCCGCAGCCATGCGCCGCTATCTGATATACTCACCAGCCTTGCTGATAGTGAATCATGTTCCTTTCTTCTCGCTTCACAACCCTGGACCTAGATCTACGGTGGATAATATAAATCCTGCATTACCTTAAAGACCCTAAACTATGGGAATTATGGCATATTCCTTACTATGGGCAATGCAGGATTTATATCATCAACAATATCACTGCCGACAAATTGCTTGTACTGAGGGGGGGGATATTGCAACCGGGAAGGGGGTTGAGATGACCATTCGTTGTGGTGCCATATCTATAGTAGGGTCGAATATGCTCCAAGACTCTATTCTGAATATTTTGAGGCAGCTGCATTACGGTGTCGAGTTTTCACGGCTCAGCGTGCCACCCGACATCCTGACCACAACGGGTATTCCGCAGATCGAAAAGAGGTCTTCAAAAAAAACAAGAACCCTAATGTAAAATCCCGACGCCAGAGACCCCACGAATCTCGGCCCATGAAGCGATTGCTATCAGGTCTCAGTTTCGGTGGATGGGAGCTGAGAAGTTTGCCTTACCTGGCTCCTTGGCGTTTTTCGAAGGCTGACAGGGTCTAGGTAATGTTTTTCAGTGTGTATATATATATATATATATGTATGTATATGGTTTGTATATTTAATATGTATATATGTATATATATATATATGGTATATTATGTAAAGATATATATGTATATACATATTTTACGAGGTTTAACGGCCCATGTTGCGACTGTCCGCTGCTTCTTTCTGTGCTATCAACAAAGCAAGAGACAATGGCATTTTTCCACCAGCTGTGGCATCTCGTTTCGGTCATGTCGCGTTTGTGGGAAGGATACAAAGTGCTCTGTTAATAGTCTTCCCGATTGACTGACAAAGAGACCTCGTACGATTAATAAATTCTTGGCGCTGCTCTTTCTTTGTGTATGTGGGCCTTCCCTGGTGGCTGTTGCCAGTGATTAACGTATTGTTTAGGCAACTGGAGCCCGGGGAAATGCGTAGCCTACCTCGGTCACCAAACCCTAAATTCTAAACCCTGAACTCTGCGTGACCTACCTTCAGGATCCCACGCCCGGCCCGCCCACCTTCGAAAACCGAGTCGGCCCATTTGGGTGTCCGAAGTGTTGTTTCAGCTTTGGCTTAAGGGTTAACTCTTCAGATTGAAAGTGGGTCAGAAGTACCCTTACAGAGAACCCTGAAAAAGGGAAACTCTAGTATAGAACGCGAGAGTATCTCCAGGAAGTCTTGCAGCTTCGAGCTCCGTTTGTGCTTCGAGTGGGTCCTTGACATACGCTGAGGCTTTTACCACGTTCAGGGTGTTCCCGGCGTTCCTCTCAGACCACGTTTCATGTTGTAAGATGTTGTAAGACACGTTAACCCAGGGGGGCAATACAAAAGACCTGCCTGTTTCTACGGGGACTTATAGCTGTTTCGGCTTCAAGTTTGTGTTTCTCGGCACATTTGGCTTCCGAAACTTCTCAACTTAGGCGCTACCGGTTTCGGCGGCAGCCACGACGATTGTCAAAGCAGCGTGGGACGAGGGCTTCACCAGGTGGGCTGTGGGAAAGGAACTTAAGGAACATACCTAAATCATCTTAGGGATCCTACTAAAGTTCAAGGTAGATTTCAGCCCTTAGCCCTAAACGCTAAAGCGGGAAAGGTGACGTTTTGATGTTCTATCAGTCGAAAACTCACGGCTGCAGGCTTTAAGCCTGATCGTCTGGGTTATTCAAGTTCGTGAATTGTAATAAAGAACCCTGAGTATTTGCCCATGCTTTTCTGAGGGCTCCTTTCTGCTTTGATTATAGGAAGCTATTATGGGAGTTTCCGAAAATTAGGGGTACCTTATTGGGGTCCTTATCATAAGGATCCTACTATTTGGGGTACTATCTTGGGGTACCCAATTTTCGGATACTCCCATATTCCCACAACCCTTCAAACCAAATCTTAACGCCCCCCATGTTAGCTCATTGAGTTGAAGGAAGTGAGGGCCTTGTGCCGTCGCAGCCTGTGAGCGGAGGATGCTTCCCAGAGTTCACACCCTACCTACTGTTGATGGACAAAATCCTGCATGACCCTAAGGACTCTAAACTAAGGGAACTATGGTATATTCCTTATAATGGGTAACGCAGGATTTTGTCCATCAACAGTATGGTCTCAATTGCATTGTAGTTTATGTTTTGGTTTAGCCAGTTCTGTAGATATAATCATATATTCAGGATTATATCGGTGGCTCAAAAAAGGAACTACAATGGGGACTATAGGTAGGCCCCCAGCCATAGGCCTTCCGAGAAGAATCTGTCTATTTGTTGCCAAATTCACTTCGATCCCCAAGACCTAGCCTTTAAACTTTGTGGGTTCTTATAGTTTAGTAGGAATCGGGGAAAGTTCAACCTTTTACTTCTGTGGCTTATTGGGTAGTAAGTTTAGAGTTGAAGAGTCGAATCAGAGCTCCGGGCAATAGTATACCCATATCGCCCCTAGTTGAAGTATACTGCGCTACACCCTAAATCCACTTTTCCAACCCCGCTGTACTAGAGACTGTGGGGTGGAAATGGGCCCTATGACTGCATATACTTCGCATTCCAAAGTGTGGACACCTACATCTTCCTTGTGAATTCAACCCGAGCCCTTAAAACTCTCTAAACCCTAAACCCTTACTCGGCCGCCTAAGCCCAATCAAGCTCGAAGAAACAGGTTTTTCAACATCCTCTATGGACTTTTCGGTGGCTTGGTGCTCTTGTTCTTGTTGGCAGGGACCTCAACTCAGGGTTCAAGGATTTGCCTGTATAGGAAGTAGTACTGGCCTAACGGCTCTTACAGCACTCTTCCAGCGGATCCTAGCAGCCAGCAGTGGTGTGAATCTCTCGTTTCGGGTTCAAGGATGTGTGCCAGTGGCCTTAACTAGACTTGGGTATTGAGGCATATGATCGCAGTGCAAACGCTACAAAGAGATACAGCTACTTTTGCGGGCCTCTGTGTATCTTAGTGTCTGAAGTTTTAGGGTATGTGGATTCAGAGTCTCAGTGTAAGGCTTGGCTTCAGAACGCAAAGCGAAAGTTTAGAGTATGCGGGTGCTGGGCCTGTCTATATCCACGCAGGGTGTACATCATTGTATGTTAATGTAAATTGCCCTTCCAGGAACGCTTCGGAAAAGTGAACCCGCCCGACAAGCAACCCATCACGCCCAAAGCCCAGTTCAAACCGTTAATCTCGTTGCGTTTGGATTTCAGATCTTACCCATAGGCTCCATAGTTCTTTTTGGGGGTTCATATGTAGACTCCTATAAGGTAATCCCAAAAGGGAACTACTATGGAGCCTATGAATAGCCCCCCCAGGCACTGATAAATCAGGGCGCCTTAGGCGCCAGACATGCCTGAGCATGATTACCTCATGTTACATTGGTCCTAAAAGTGTGTCCTTAATACTGTTGATGATATAAATCCTGCGTTACCTTAAGGACCCTGAACTACGGGAATTATGTTATATTCCTTATGATGGGTAATGCAGGATTTTGTCCATCAGCAGTATCACTGCAGTATTTATGACCATGCTCCAAGGCACCTGCACAATGTGTAGTTGCCGCTAAGCTTGAACTGACCTTGCGCAAAACAGGTTCCGGCAGATGCACAAGCTACTTTAAGATACCGTAAAGCTACCCTTCTGTAGGTCTTAAAACTTCGGGTTTATGCATCGAACCTGCACAACATGTAAAGAAAGAACGGGGAGACCTGAACCCGAGACCCTAAACCCTAACCAGCTTTCGGGAAGCCGTTTCTTTCGAGTTTCAGGCCACTGAAAACCCAAACTCCAATTCCCAAGCCCATCAACATGCGTAACCCGAAACCAAAACCGCAAACTTATAAACCCCACCCTAAAGCTAAACCAGGTGAAAGCACCAATTCTTTTAAGCCATATCAGGTTTACAGTACGTTGCTTATTCTAGTTAGACCCTAAAACCCTGAACCCTAAACCGCAAAACCCTAACCCCAAAACGCGAAATGGCTTTAGTGCATTCTTTCGTGTCTTGAGCTTTGGAGTTCCCCAAGGCTCGGAAATCCTCCAGTCCCACGGTTGATGATATGAATCCTGCATTACTCATAATAAGGAATACACCATAAATCCCATAGCTTAGGGTCATTGAGGTAATGCAAGATTTATATCATCAACCGTAGTGGGGACTTTTGGGACTTCGCCAGGCTGCGTTGGGGTTGTTTTGTCCAGCTTGGGCCTTGCTAACCTAAATCCTTAAGCCTCAACCCTAAACCGAAAACCCCCAAACACAAAAACAACAAGCCTACACTCTAAACCTTGTTGTAGCCTCTGGGCTCTATGCAGCAATTACCCATTTCTCTAAACCCTTATCCCGAAATCCAAGCATCCTAAACCCATGAGCTGTGAAACTTGTGTCTCCAATCCCGGAGCTCCTGACCGAAATCCCTAAACCCTGCGCCCATACATTCTTTGCTGCTTCTGCGCTTCGTTCTGCCATCCCGAGAGAAGAGGAACATGCCAATGTCAGGTGGCTGCCTGGAAAGTGAGGAGACAACTGCGCGAGTGGTTCGTAGAGCTGCGGGTGATTTGCGCAAGACTCAGCTGCACACCTTGCAGGGCTCGCACCTGTCGGGTGAGTTGTGTTGAATAGACTTGATGTCGCTGAATGATATGTGTGAGAGCTGTAGTGCTTGCAAAAGTACTAATTAGATTGCAGTGGTTCAATCCCTTATATGACAGAACGACAGCCGTATGAACAATGCTGGTTAAACAGCTGAAGTCAACCGACTGGCACGTTCGAAACAATAAGCAGAACTCTTAAACTTATTATGATGCTACTAAGAGATTAGATTGAAGGCCTCGTTTTGTTTTTTCCGTCTCTGTCAATGTTTGTTTGCCCGCGTTTTGGTTTCTACAGTTGTCGGCTGTGTCCTGCTGTGCAATCAAATGCTCGTTCTGTCTGTGTGTGTGTGTGTGTTTGTCCGTCTGTGTGTGTGTGTGCGCGCGTGCTTGTGCCATCTTGTGCCCCTATCATCTGGGAGTTTCCACAAATTAGGGTGACCTTATTTCGGGGTCCTCTTAATAAGGGTCCTACTATTTAGGGCCATTTAGGGTACTGTATTAGGGTCCCGCATTTTCGGAAACTCCCATTTAGTGCAGTGCGACGAAGACTTCAGTCTGTAGTAGTATAAGTCGACGTGGGTTTCGTGCCTGCAGGGCAGTACCTCTGGTCTGCATCGTAGTTCCTGTTTTGGTTTAACCAGCTAGATATTTAGGATCTTATAACGTAGCCCAAAACAGAACTACTTACAACGGAGACTAGTGGTAATAATCACCGAGCGGACAAAAGAATCTTGCAAAAGGCCCACTGCCGAGGACCGCCGCAGTCGTCCCAAGACTCTCGAAAAGCACCGTCGGAGTACCCAGGTGTCCACATAAGTATCGACTGCAATCCTAAACCATCAGCGCCAAACCGAAATGTCACCGAAAGAGCTGGGGCCCTAAAGCTCAAACTCTTTGGGAAAAGGGGATCAAAAGCAGGACTCGGCTTACAACCGCTAAGCCCCAGACCCCTAAACCCCTTATATAAACCCTAAACCCTAAACCCCATCCCTCCTAGAAGACCCTGCTTCCCTACTTGCCTAAGCCCTTCGGAGAGAGGTCTGCAGCATCCGAAAAGTGGACAGCTCCAGTATGTGGATCGGGTCCGGAGCCCGATTGTGATGGTTTTGTAGGGCTTTCGGGGGTGAGGGTTTTAGGGTGTTAGGGTTTAGAGGTTTAGGGTTTTAGGGTTTAGGAATTTAGGGTTTAGAGCTTTAGGGGTTTCGGGGTGTAGGTCTTCAGGGGATTAGGGATTGGGGGATTTGGGGGCTTAGGGGTTTAGGGTTTAGGATCTATAGGGTTATTCGCAATAGTAGCCTGTTATATCTCGTTAATGTCCCTTTATGATACAAGCACAACATACCAGAAAGCCTGATTCTATTTTAATCATTATACCTTAACCCCGAAGAACCTCCACTTTTAAGGACTTATTTAAACGAATCATAATAAGGGACCCTAAAAAGGTAGGTTATTCAGGGTTAAGGTAGGGCTCCTTAAGGTAGGGCCGCTTTGCGAGAGGCCGTGGGGCCCTGCGGTGGGTTTTGAGGCTTGGGGTTGGGGGCTCTAGATCGGAGGAGGGCATTGAATTCGTAGAGGCTTTGCCAAAATTTTAAACCCTGAACCCGAAATCCTAAACCCGAAACCCGTATGAAAACCTTGCGGAGGAGCTGTTGGCCTCAAAACCCCGCAGTAGACCCCTGATTCAAAAACCCCCTGGCCTGTAAGGGCGCTATAGGGTTCTCTAACGGGGGTTCCCTTTAATGGTACCGTGGTTCTATATCTGGGTTCCCTTTGAAGGGTCTACAGTAGGGATCCCAAGAACAAATCCTTTAAATGCAGGTAGCTTGTTAATCAGAGGTTTAAAGACCCTAAACTAGCTATGGGTGTGCCTGCAGGACATAATTATCAGAGTTTGGTCTATGCCTACTTCCGTTTACATCCGGCTCAAGCTCTCATGTTATGATTCGGTCGGTATCCCCATGCCCACCCACCCAGAGAGCCCAACACCCATTACTTCAGGAATATACATTAAAGCAGAATAGCAAGGCCACTATAGTTTAAGATATAATATAATATATATATATATATACATATATATATATATATACATATATATATATACACACTTTTTTCCTCAATTAAGGGGTACGGGGCTCTCCGGGCAAACCCCCGAACTCCCTGAAATCCTGTTGCCTGCATCCCGAAAACCGTCTGAGGCAGATCCGGGGCTTAAGACCTTAATTTCCCAAAGGCTCCATGTACCCATATAGTACCCAGAGCCTTCAAAACCCCTTAATTAAGGAATATACCCTAAATTATAGTAGGATCCCTATTATGATTTAAGGTATATTCCTTAATTAAGGGGTTTTGGAGGCTCTGGGTAGGTACCTATACCTCAAAGTACTCATATAAGGACCCCTTTACGGCCTAAGTACCTACTATGTGGGCACATGGAGTCTTATGTAGGGTTTGAGATCCTCAACTTTCTACGCTAAGCCCGTCAAGCCAGGAAGCCCTGGACCCCCAAGCCCTAAGCCTTTATGAAACCCTCCCCCTACACCCTAAACCTACACCCTCACCCCCCTAAACCCTAAACCCTAAACCCTAAACCCTCACCCCAGAAGATTTGAACCACCGAAGCCCTAAACCCTACCCTAAACCCTAAAGCCCTATAAACCCTACCCTACAGCCCTAAAGCCCTAAACCCTACCCTAAACCCTAAAGCCCCAAAATCTGCCCTAAATCCTGAAGCCCTAAACCCTAAACCCTAATGATTGCAAACCCTAAAGCAATTTAGCACTGGCAGAGCCGAGGTTTGCGATCAGCTACTGGCGCTGCCCTTCGTTCCGGGAGAGACAAGGCGCCAGTTTCCGGGGGAGATCAGGGCTTGGGGTTTCTTAGGGTTTTAGGGTTTTAGGGTTTAGGGTTTAGGGTTTTAGGGTTTAGGGTTTAGGGTTTAGGGTTTAGGGGTTTAGGTTAGGGGTACTTAGGAATATTGTTTTATAGTTTTTGGTTATTATAATTCCTAAGAAACAGCTAAACTTGTAATTTTTGCTAGGGTTCTAAGTTCAGTATAGGTTTTAGGATTCAGGGTTGCGTTATTATTATAAGGTATTAAGGATCGCATGAAGCCCGAGACCCTAGACCCCTCCAAACATATGGTCCGTATTGTTAGAAGATTCCCGGGGTTCACTATTGTATGATATTAAGGCATAGTATAGCACATTACAGTATATGACATTATGTAACCCTAAACCCCACACCTTCACTTAATATAACTACCTTAATCCCGAAGAACCTACATTTTTAAGGGCATATATAAAGAAATCATAATAAGCAACCCTGAAAAGGTAGGTTATGCAGGGTTAAGGTAGGGCTTGGGGCCTTAATAATTAGACTAAGGCTTCGGGGTGTATTATACTATAGTTGTCATAAGGAACCCCCCAAAACCCTAGTCGAATTGAGGGTTTGGGGCTTGAGGTGTAGGGTGAGGGCTGATCTGTAAGCTGTGTGGGTTACTGGTACGGCCTGAAGATTTTGTCCTCACCGTAATATACCCTGAGC